GGGCTCCATGCCTCTCGGGGGCTCCATGCCTCTCGGGGGCTCCATGCCTCTCGGGGGCTCCATGCCTCTCGGGGGCTCCATGCCCCTTGGCTCCATGCCTCTAGGGGGCTCCATCCCCCGAGGTTCTATGCCTCTTGCATCCATGCCTCTGGATGCCATTCCTCTGGGCTCCATGCCCCTCGCATCCATGCCTCTGGGCTCCATGCCTCTGGGCTCCATGCCTCTGGGCTCCATGCCTCTGGGTTCCATGCCCCGGCCATCCATCACTCTGGGCTCCATGCCTCTGGACTCCATGCCTCTAGGCTCCATGCCTCTGGGCTCCATGCCCCTCGCATCCATGCCTCTGGGCTCCATGCCTCTGGGCTCCATGCCTCTGGGCTCCATGCCTCTGGGTTCCATGCCCCGGCCATCCATCACTCTGGGCTCCATGCCTCTGGACTCCATGCCTCTAGGCTCCATGCCTCTGGGCTCCATGCCCCGGCCGTCCATTACCCTGGGCTCCATGCCCCGGCCATCCATCACTCTGGGCTCCATGCCCCTTGGGTCTCTTCCACCTACATAAAAGGAAGGAAGGCATGTCTCAACACAGGTTCTACTGTTATGGGCAAGAGGCAAAACCAGGAGCTACCCACCAAGGCCAGCATAGGACCCGCTCCGGCACAGCCAAACCGGAGTATCAAAATGCTTGCAGCCTGTTGCATTTCGAATTAAAGGGGCGCAAACTATAATACCAGGTTTGAATTTTGTTCTGAAAAATGCAACGCTTCCTTTTGTTTCGGCTTACTGTGGTACAGTACGTTGAGTTGTAGGAACTGCTTATCTATTCCTGCATCTGCTGGAACAGCTGGGTGGGATCTATGGACTAGATGTTGCCAAGCAACAGCTCCTACCCTCTGCCACTACTGACTGTGGTGCTTGGAATGACTATTCTGCAACACCTGTAAGCCTCCGAAAAGTTATCCCTACATCCTCTTGAGCTCCTCGTTCTTCTGAATGGTTCCCTCTGCATCAAAACCTGCCTCCCTTTTACCTCGGCCATCCATCAAGGGCCCTCGTGGTTCTCCCATCAGGGGACGTGGCTCTCCCATTGGTCCGCCTCTCATTTCATGGGGAGGCAGCCCACGGCTGTCGTGTGCGGGCATGTGGTGCATTGGCGGCCCCTGGTGGGGTGGCCCGAGGTAACCTCTGCAGAAAAGGGCGAGGAGGGAAGGAAGGAAGAAAGAAAGAAAGGAGACATCAGCTGCCAGATTAAAGTCCCAGAGAAGCTTCCCCCACCTCGTAAATAAAGGGGCTTGGTGGGATGGGTGCTCCAAGCCAGGTTCTGGCTTATTCAATGAACCGAGTTAGATCTGGGCTCAGTGCAAGCACGGTCAATCTGAGGGCCAGCTTGGAAGTCTGGTGGGGAGGCCTAGAGAAGAGACTGCTGCCTGCAGGAGGACAAGGCTGCAGGAGGGAGGTAAAGAATTGGAATGAAGCTCCCATTTGATCTCTACAGGCAAAGAGGAGAGGGGGGTGGGATAGAAACAAAGACAGCTGTGCTTGCAACCTGTAATTCTCCCATTGCTAAAACCATCCAGCTTTCTGGTCCCTTGGGACACCTAAATAAGGCCTCTGCTCCCACCTGCCTACCTGGGCTCCACGTCTCCAGTGACCGAGAGCAACGTGCCTCCCCGTGGGTCATTGGGGGCATCTCCCAGAAGGCCTCGGGGTGGCGGCCCGCTAGCTGGCATTGGCCCCCGGTGCATAGGGGCTCGTGGGTCCGGCATAGGTACTGTCAAGGAGGCAAAGAGAGGGCTTTGAAGATCAAGAAGAGAAACCGCTTATCGTCCTATGGTTCATGGTGTTTTGGAACGGAGGTCCTTCTCTGTCACGTACCCACTTTGCGTAAAAGGAAGCCTACACTTGGGGTGGGGTGGGGGAACCCTGCAGAGGTTATGAATTGCCTCCATACAGACTACAATGCTCGTTTCCCTAATCACATATATTCTCCCTTATCATCTATCTATCTATCTATCTATCTATCTATCTATCTATCTATCTATCTATCTATCTATCTATCTATCTATCTATC